TTTGCATGGCCATTTTTAAAAAACAGTGCGATAAACTACTATGTCTAGGACCCTACCAAATTCACGGTCCATTTTGGTCAATTTCACAGTAATAGGATTTTTTAAATAGTACATTTCATGATTTCAGCTATTTAAATCTGAAAATTCATGGTGTTCTAATTGTAGGGGTCCTGACTAGGGTTGCCAACTTTCTATTGGCACACAACCGAACACCTTGCTGCCCCTTCCCTGAGGCCCTGTCCCCAGCTCACTACATTCCCCCTCCTTTGGTGGCTCACTCTCCCCCACCCTCACTCACTTTCACTGGGCTGGGGCAGGGGGGTGGGGTGCGGGAGTCTGTAAGGGCTCTAAATGGGGGTGCAGGCTCTGGAATGGGGCCAGAAATGAGGGGTTCATGTGCAGGAGGGGGCTCCAGGCTGGGGCAGGGAGCTGGGGTGTGGGAGGGGGTGAGGGCTCCAGCTGGGGATGTGGGCTCTACGGTGGGGCTGGGAATGGGGATGAGGAGTTTGGGGTGCAGGAGGGGGCTCCAGGCTGGGGCCAAGATATTCGGAATGTGGGAGTGGGCTGCGGGTTCAGGCAGGCTGTTGGGATGTGGGAGGGCTCTGGGGTGGGGGTGCAGGCTCTGGGGTGTAGGAGGGGGCTCCGGGTTGGGGGGGGGGCTCAGGGCTGGGGCAGTGGCTTGGGCTTACTCAGGCGGCTCCCGGTCAGTGGAGCAACAGGGCTAAGGCAGACTAGTCCCTGTCTATCCTGGCTCCGCGCTGTGCCCCGGAAGAGACCAGCAGGTCTGGCTCCTAGGCAGGGGAGGAGGGGCAGGAGGTTCCGCGGCGCGCACTGCTCTTGTTCGCAGGCACCGCCCCCCCGCCCCAGCTTCCAATGGCCAGTTCCCGGCCAATGGGACTCTGGAGCCAGTGCTCGGGGTGGGAGCAGCGCACGGAGCCCCATTACCTCCCCGTCTAGAAGCTGGATCTGCTGGCCACTTCTGGGGCGCAGCGTGGTACCCCAGGACAGGTAGGGACTAGCCTGCCTTAGCACTGCAGCATCTCTGACCGGACTTTTAACAGCCCGGTCAGAAGTGCTGACTGGAGCTGCCAGGGTCCCTTTTCGACCGGGTTTTCCGCTCGAAAACCGGACACCTGGTCATCCTAGTCCTGACTCAAACAGAAGTTGGGGGGGGGGGGGAGGGGGTCACAAGGTTATTGTAGGGGAATTGTGGTACTGCTACCCTTACTTCTGTGCTGCTGCTGGTGGCGGTGCTGTCTTCAGAGCTGGACAGCTGGAGAGCGGTGGCTGCTCGCAATTTTAATTGCACTGTTAAACAATAATACAATATCAATTTAAATTTATTATAAATATTTGAGGATGTTTTTCTACATTTTCAAATATACTGATTTCAATTACAAAGTGCACAGTGTTCACTTTATGTTATTATTTTATTACAAATATTTGCACTGTAAAAAAAGATAAACAAAAGAAATAGTATTTTTCAATTCACCTGATACAAGTACTATAGTGAAATCTCTTTATGTAAAAATGAAACTTACAAATGTAGTTTTTCTGTTTGTTTTTAATGTAAATGCATTCAAAACCAAAACACTGGAAAACTTTAGAGCCTACAAGTCCAGTCAGTCTATTTCTTGTTCAGCCAATCACTAAGACAAACAAGTTTATAATTTACGGGAGATAACGCTGCCTGCTTCTGATTTACGTCATCTGAAAATGAGAACAGTTCACATGGCACTTTTGCCCAGCGGCCACGGCAGCACCACAGGAGGCTAAGCCTCCTCTGGCCTATTATACCCCCGGCTCATGCCCCCTTCATGCTTCGACCACCATTCCAGAGGACATGATTCCATGCTGATGACAGGTTCTGCTCGATAACAATCCAAAGCAGTGTGGACTTATGCACTTTCATTTTCACCATCTGAGTCAGATGCCACCAACAGAAGGTTGATTTTCTTTTTTGATGATTTGGGTTCTTTAGTTTCTGCATTGGAGTGTTGCTCTTTTAAGACTTCTGACAATATATTCCACACTTCGTCTCTCTCAGATTTTGGAAGGCACTTCAGATTCTTAAACCTTAATACTATTTCTTTTATTTTTTTACAGTGCAAATATCTGTAATAAAAAATAATAGAATAAAGAGAGCACTGTACACTTTGTATCCCATGTTGTAATTAAAATCAATATATTTGAAAATGTAGTAAAACATCTAAAATATTTATAATAAACTTACATTGGTATTCTATTATTAAAAAGAACAGGAGTACTTGTGGCACCTTAGAGACTAACAAATTTAT